AACCATTAATAACTACTCTCTGAGTACGGTTATCCAGCCAGTTATGCACCCTCCTTATAGTAGCCCCATCTAAGTTGTATTTTCCTAGTTTATTGATAAGAATATCATGCGAGACCATATCAAATGCCTTACTAAAGTCTAGGTATACCACATCTAGTGCTACTCTCTTATCCACAAGACTTGTTATCCTATCAAGGAAAGGTATCAGATTGGTTTGACATGTTTTGTTCTTTACAAATCCATACTGCCTGTTTCCTATCATCTTACCACCTTTCAAGTATTTGCAGATGATTTCCTTATTTACTTGTGCCATTATCTTCCCTGGCACAGAAGTTAAACTAACTGGTCTGTAGTTTCCTGGATTGTTCTTATTTCCCTTTTCATAAACGGGCACTATATTTGCCCTTTTCCAGTCTTCTGGAATCTCTCCTGTCTCCCATGATTTTCCAAAGATGATAGCTAGAGGCTCAGATACCTCCTCTATCAGTTCCTTGAGTATTCTAGGATGCATTTCATCAGGCCCTGGTGACTTTCAGGCATCAAACTTTTCGAGGTGATTTTTAATTGCTCTTTTTTTATTTTATCTTCTAAATCTCCCCCCTTCCCACTAGCATTCACTATATTAGGCATTCCTTCAGACTTCACGGTGAAGACCGAAACAAAGAAGTCATTAAGCATCTCTGCCATTTCCAAGTTTCCTGTTAACTGTTTCTCCCTCCTCACTGACCAGTGGGCCTACCTTGTCTTTGGTCTTCCTCTTACTTCTAATGTTGCCCCTACTTGCTCTGGAGAGCAATCATCTTGCTCTCAGGGCTAAAAGGAAGCTGGTGCGCTTGGCTGCAGGGGGAGACATGGCATGCTCCCAGCTGCATTTCCAGGGCTTCTAGCAGGCTGCCACATTAAGCAGCAGGCAGGAAGGCAAGTGAAAGAAGCCAGCTGGGGGCGTGGTGCCTCCCTGCCCCATTGGTCCAAGATTGCCCCAACCCTGAGGCCCCTCCACGACACCATTTAGGGAGGGCAAAATTCCCCTCCCCCAAAATTCACACGGGGACGCTGCTTGCTGTTCCTCTTCCCGTCAGGGAGTGAAAGGAAAGTGCACAGCCTGCCTGCATTTCTCTGCCTCCTAACTGAGGAGGTCAGGGGGCAGAGCAGTGAGTGGCCCATGCTGTGAGCTTTTCTCTTGCTCCCTGAGAGCGATGAAGGGGAACAGCAAACAGCTTCTTGGTACAAATCAGAGCAGGGAGACGGAGGCTTCAGTGCCCCTCACCTCTCTAAAGAGCATCCTTGCCTGCCTGCACACTCCCCATCCACACATACCCTAGCCCCTGCCCTGAGCCCCCCTACACTGCCAGCCCCCTGCCCTGAGCTCCTCCTCACACCCCTAGCCCTCTGCCCTGAACCCCACCCATTGTACCTCCAGCCCCCTACCCGGTACCCCTCCTTCACAATCCCCAGTCCTGGCTCCTGCACTCCCCCCACATCAACCCTCTGTCCTGAGCCCCTCTTCCCACACTCCAACCCTGACTTCTGCACCCACCACACCTCCATGCACCTGCCCTGACTCCTGCAGCCCCCACATCCTCCCCTGCCATGAGCCCCTCACATTCCAATCCACACCTAAATTTCTTACAGATACTGTCATATCGCAACACCTCCACCCCTCCCTGCCCTGAGAAAGAAATTACTTTCATCTCGGCTTCCTCTTTCGGCTGCATGCACTCGGGTGAAAGGACTTGCAGAATCCAAGTCTCAGAGTCACAAGCTCACAAATCCAAACCTTTTCTGTCTCCTCTAGAAAAGCATCAATGAAGTCTCTGGTAAAGGCTGGGTCCCGTGTTTCCTTGTGCTCCTTCACAATCTCCCTTAGTATTTTAAAGCTCTCAATATAGGGCTGGAAGACGTTGTTATGAGGCCCAGGAATACGTATCAACCAAGGCATCATGTTCAGAATCTAAGGTGGAAGAAACAGGAGAAGAAAAGCATTAGACCAGATGGGCAGTTCTCAGATATTCAGTGTGGAAAGAGATGGAACTGCGATGGAATGTTCCCAACAGGCCAGCTCCCCAACTTCACACTGGGCAGACTTTTTGGGGCTCTCTATCTTACTCCCTCCATCATGCAATACATTGTGACCAACATTGTGTGCATATAAAGATAACTATCTAACTAACCCGCCTCTGGGAGTAACCACCCTCCTCGATTCATACCCATTCTATAAAGGTACGTCTACACTGCAGTGCTATTTCGGGATACTTCTGGTATCCCAAAATAGCTATTCCGTGTCTTGACAGCACACCCATTATTTCAAAATATCTTTCAAAACAATGGGTGTGCTATTCTGACGTCCCTGTAAACCTCGTTCCACGAGGAGTAAGGGACATTTTGGAATAGAGCTTTATTTTGAAATTTGGCGGTGTGTAAACAGCGCCAAATTACAAAATAAGCTATTTTGAAATACATTCAAAATAAGCTATGCAATTTGTGTAGCTCATATTGCATAGCCTATTTTTAGCTAAAGGTGCAGTGTAGACGTGACCTTACCCAGCTGGTACTCAGCCTCCCCCCTGCATGGCTCTAATGCTGCAGTCCTTACTCAGGATAAATGTTGCTGACTCTTATAGGCTGGGCTCAGGCTGTTTTTCTATTAGGACTGTGAAGCAATTTAAAAAATTAATTGTGATTAATCTCGAGATTAAAAAAAATCAATCATGATTAATTGTAGTTTTAATTGCCATTTATTTTAAAATGCTGGATGTTTTCTACACTTTCAGGTATATTGATTAGAATTACAACACAGATTACCAAGTGCAAGTACTCATTTTATATTATTTTTATTACAAATATTTGCATGGTAAAAAAGATAGAATATTTCAGTTCACCTTCTACAGGCCCTATAATGCAATCTCTCCATCATGAAAGTACAGTGTACAAATATAGAATTTTTTAACATAACTGCACTCAAAAACAAAGTAATGTGAAACTTAGGAGCAGAAGTATTTCTCACATACTTTGTGATGGTGACTCCATTAGGACTTTAAAAAAAGTGTGACCCACCCCTATTTCTCACATACTTTGTGATGGTGACTCCATTTGGACTTTAAAAAAAGTGTGACCACTAGAAAAATTTGTTATCCCCCACTTTCAGCTCCGGGGGGCTTGGGGCCTCAGCCCTCCTTGGGGCTCTCCCACAATGCCTCTGGAGCTCCAGGACTCAGGTCTTCAGCCCCTCTCAGGTTTCCGACTTCAGCCCTCATCAGGGCATGGAACTGCAACTTTCAGTCTCCCCTCCAGGGCTCCAGACCCCTCCCCCCGTTGCCTGTGGAGCTCCAAGGCTCAGGGCTCCAGCCCCCCACTGCCTGTGAAGTGAAATTAATGCATTAATCGTGCTGTGAATTAATCCTCAATTGACAGTCCTAATGCAAAGTGAAAGGTCATGGGGTGCTATCTGTTGGCAGTGACAGAAGGAGAGTAAGTCCGAGGCGTATTGGTCAATGCCTGTGAGCTGCCAATGTGATGCAGCAGTGAAAAAGGTTAATTTAGTCAATCCTCAAATGCATCAGTTGAGGTGTTTCCAGTAGAGATGGAGAAGTGTTGTTACCATTGTACAAGGCCCTGGTGAGACCTCATCTTATGTTCTTATCATGAACACAGAGCCTGTATCACAATGCGAAGACTACAAGGTTGGAGCTTCTGAAAAATGCACCAGTGGTTGGTTTGACTGGTGATCCCGGAACAATCACAGTTACCTTGGAATCACAGCACACTTGATTGATGCTGCATGGATACTGCAGTGGTTTGCTTTTAACAGGGATGCACACTGCAGAGAGAGACTATGCTGAAACGTGGAGAGTGACCGTTGAGAAAGAATAGAATATGCAAACAAAAGTGACAACAGTTAGTACTAACAGTGCAATCAAAACTGGGATTAACCACGATTACCTTTTCAATCATGGTTAATTTGTTTTGTGTTAATCACTGAGTTAATTGAGATTAACGGAGAGCCCAATTTGTTATTTCTTTCTTCTCTGTAGAGTGTGATGGTGTGTTAATCACTGAGTTAATTGAGATTAACTGAGAGCCCAATTTGTTATTTTTTTCTTCTCTATAGAGTGTGATGGCCAAGGGTCTGTAAAGGCAGAATTCCCTAGAAGGGCTGGTCTTCTGGAGGAAAGTCAGTTTCTCATTCACCATTCCCTTGTCTTGTTTGTATTCATGGGATGTTTAATGCTTGTGTAAGAATGTGCGTGTGATATAGAAGATGGTAGTAAGATGCAGTCTACTGTCCAGATTCTTGCAAAAATCACACAGAGTAAAGTCACTCGTGGTGGGAGGTTTTGGATGTCTTCCTTCCCTGAAATCTCAGCAGGGTAGACGTGTTAGTCTGTAACTTTAAAAACCAAAGTGGGTTTTGCCCACAAAAGCTCATGATATAATATATTTCTTAGTCTCTAAGGTGCCACAGGACTACTCATTGTTCCTTCCCCGAAGAAATTCTCAAAGTTCTATTCCTGAATTGAACAACATTAAAGTCGGTTTCTTTCTCTCTCCCTCTCTCTCTCATAAAGTTTTTGATAGTCTGTTCAGAAAAACACTTACAAATAAGAAAGCATCTCTAAATTATCCCAGACCCCCAGTTCATCAAAAATGGGCTGGAAATTGCCCAGAAGTGAGCCATCGTTAGAAGAAGGTCCTGTGCACCCTTATGCGTTGTCCAGGAAATATGGAGAGAACAGCTGATGCATTTCAGCAGTCCCATGTCCTGTCCCAACTGAATCTAGAAAGTGCAGAGGCATATGAGGGAAATAGCCAGACACAAGGCTTAGCTAGACAGTATTTGGTGGATTTCAGGAGTTTTCTGTTTTACCCAAATTGGTTCATTATCCCTGCATCAAGCACCCTTGCACCTGTGTCTAAAAACAGTGGCTCACAAACCGTGGGTTGCCAGGGCAGGCACTTGGAACTTGGGCCTGAAGCCAAAGTCCAAGCTCCACTACCGATGGCTAAAACTCTTAAACTTCTGTGCCCCCCAGGGTGACAGAGGTTGGGCTTTAGCTCTGCCCACCCATTCCAAGTTGGGCGTGGGGCCTCCCAGGATCATACAGCAATTGTTGTTGTCAGAAGAGGTTCGTGGTACAGTGAAGTTTCGAACCCCTGGTCTGATCTCTTCATATCCCTCAAGCCCACCCAGGCAACCAAGAGGCTCCATTTCTACTAACAATCAGATAATTGTGGGCTACCTGAGGCAAGATTCCAGCTCCTATATTGAAAGCCTCCTCTATGAGGTGTAGCATCCTCAGGAATTTCTCATTGTTGTACTCAAAGCGTTTGCCAAAAGTGAGGGAGCACATCACATTACCTACGGCACTGTTTAAGAGGCAGCGGGGATCAAAAGGATGGCCTGAAAGAGACACGGGAACCAATCCGAAAGATTAGGAGACACACTGTGATCATAGCCTGTATGACATGAATTGTATTCAGTGAGACCCTCTAACACAGTGTTTCTCAACCTTTTTTTATAAAGTATCCCTTTAAAAAAATTGTAAGTACTCCCCACTACCTACAGTTTTCAGATACACAATTTTTTTTCTACCATTGAAACACATTTGTTTAACAACTTAATTGTAGCCAGGAGGGCGATGACATTTTGGGGTGTAAAAAGTACAAAAATAATAAAGTGCTGTAAAACTTAAAACAAAAAATCAGTTTTCTCCAAATTTCAGTTGTGTTGACGTACCCCCCAGACTTCTCTCGAGTACCCCTACGGGTACTTGTACCACTGGTTGAGAAACACTTCTCTAACAGCACAGAAAGAGGGGAATGCCCTGTATCTTGCTACGAGGTAAATCCCCTCCAAAATGGCTGGATCACCACCACATGCAAACTTCTCCTCCTCCACCTCTAGAAGCACTTTTCCCTCTAACACCATGTACAGCACCAATATGAACCATCTACCCCCTTCCCTTCTTTATGACTAGAGATATGAGTTTCCAATCTCATACCATCTTTATGTCTGAACGCAGAGCATAGACATCCAGCTTCCTGGGTCACCCACTGCTCCAGAGATTTCTTCCCCAGCCCAAAATTCCTCAAGGTGGAGAATGCGAACCTCCTTTGCTCCTTCCAGCCACGGCCATATCTTGCCATCATTATCCCTGCAGAGTTTCAAAGAAATATAAATCAATTAGCAGCCTGTTCTCCTTAGCCTCTGCTTGCTGCAATAAATGGAACAGGTTTGGTTTGGTTGCATTGGTTTACTCTTTTTAGTTAATTTATTTCCCCCTTTAACTGTGCCAGGCTCACAAAGGGGATAGTTGTGGGGAGAAATGGGCTTGGATCCCTTAGGAATCCACGTGCACTAGAGCTATAGGTGACACTTTCCCCTGTTGCTGGGAGTGCTTGACCCTCCCCCTTCACCTCAGATCCCATTCCCATTCCACCCAGCTGCTCCCAAGTTCTGCCCCTGCTCAGCCCCAATCCCATTCCTCCAAGCCCCATCCCTGCCCTGCTCCCAAACACCCACCATTCCCCCATCTCTTCCCTGCCTCCTCCCCTGAGCACACCCTGTCCCCACGCCACCTCCTCCCTTCCGGAGCTTCCTGAACAGCAGAGCTGTTTGTGGTGCTTGGGAAGCAGTGGGAGGGCTGGGGAGGAGTTGGTCAGCAGAGCCTCCAGTGAGCAAGAGGCAGAGGGGAGGGAAGCAGAGGGGGAGCTTGGCCACCAGTGGGTACTCCAGCCCATGGAGTCGGTGCCTCTGGCGACAGAAGTAGCTCCCAACACTGCTCCACAGACCAGACCTGATATATCAGGTTTTTGCACTGTTTGTGAAACAGGTTTTCACATTGAGCTTATAATGCCTTTGAGTCTCTTGCTGGTGGCAGCCATTTTGCTGAAAAGGAACACTGGGACACCAGCAGATGGAGGCAGCTGAACAGAAGCCCCATGTCAGGCTGTAAACCACTTTCTACTCACTTGTAACAACCAGATTAGCAAGCAGATTTAACACTGTCCATCCAGCGGGCAATGGTGTCTGTTTGTGCACACGGTGTGTGTATCCACATGCACACGTAGTACAGTCCACTGTCATTAGGCTACGATTGTGCCATGGAGGTGGCAGAAGTCACAGAATCATGACTTCCAGAGACCTCTGTGACTGCAATCTAGGGCAGCTAGTGCCCCCTCACCTGACCAAGTTCCCAGCTGACATGGTCAGGCAGATAACCCCACACCTCCTACCCAGGGGAAACCTGGAGCACGGCTGCGTGGGGATCCTGCACCTCCCCATTTTCTCATGCCTATTTTTAGTAAATGTCACGGACAGGTCATGGACTTCCATGAATTTTTCTTTATTGCCACTGTCTGTGGCTTTACTAAAAATAGGCATGACAAAAATCTTAGCCTTAATCATATTGCACACTATCCATAATGTACCCTGAAGGTAGAGTCATGTTCTTTCTATTCCACAAGAACTGACGTGCACAGAGATGGGAAATTTGCCCTGGATAATGAGAAACTTTGACTACTTGAGGGACACTTGCCTTCGCAGGTTTTTTTAAAGCCCAAATGGTCAAATAAAGAAAAGGGGGGTCGATCAGCAAAATCCTCTGATTTCTGGACCAATGCTTCCTTTACAACTTCTAACCCATTCAGCACAACCACGTTTGTCCATCCAACCTGAAAAGAGAAGATCTTTCCAAACTTCTTACTGAGCTGTCAAGTAAGAGTGAAAGACAAAAAAAAAAAAAAAAGAAACATAGGATTAAAGAGAGAAAAAACAACTAGAGAGGCTTAAAATGAGAGATACTGTACCATGGCCTGTGGAGCAGGGAGCACAGGGGCTTTGACTACAAAGTGCTTAATCCCAGCGTAACCTGGAAGCACTGTCCCTTGTCAGTGGTCACAGTGTCTCTGGATTATACTTGCAAACCTGCCCCCCACCAAGAGGGAATATCCCCAAAGCTGACAGGGGGGATCTAGAGCAGCACCTTGTTTTATATAATGATTTGTGGGGATGTGGCTGGGAAGGAAATCAGTGTCCCTTTCCCCTGTCACCTTACTTTCCCAACTGTTTTTTGTTCATAAAGAACACTTTTGGGTTTCTAAGTACAGTACTGGCTCGCTGCACAACATGCTCCATTAATGCTGGCCAAAGCTCAATTTCCAGTGAATGGGAAATTTTGTCATTTTAAAATTTGTTTCCAATTAGAGTCGGAAAGAAAAAAAAATCCCCCAGACCCTGACATTTCCAAAACCATTCTGTTTTGAAAAGTTTTTATTTCAGATTTTCAGTTTGAAATATTGATGTTTGGATCCTAATGTTGTTTGGGGATTTTTTTTTATTTCTCAATTATTACATTTTATCTATTACATGGCAGTGGTAATCATACTATAAATGCCTATGCATTGGTACTACTGATGTGTCATGAAATAATACACAGAGAATTAAAAATAAAGGACTCAAACAAATATTCTCCAAAGTGAATAAATGTTCACTTCAAAAGCACTACCCCATGGGAATACTAATCACAAACAGCATTAGTTGTCTTACCAAAAATTCAATGAAAGCACTCCCATCAGCTCTACTGTACAGCTGAGTCAAGGAGCCTTTGCTAAAACGGTATAATTCTACACACACACACACACAGTGGGGGAGGAGGGAGAAGAAGGTGAAGAAGTGTTCAACTCCTAGTTTAAGGGCCCAAATGATGAATAGTAGCACTTACATTGCCATTTGCTCAGTCATTAGTGTAAACTAGCATCAGTGCTTTTTTTATATTAACATTTACTTTAACAAGTATAGTGAAAGATACAATTACAAACTGATTTACAGTCTTGATGTACACACGGTTCTATAGTGTGTTACTGATCAACAACCAACCATTTACACTAAGTACAGGGAGAGTGGCATGTCACATGTGCACACAATATAAATTAGACGCGCTTTTCTACTTTGTTTTTATTCTGTTTAGCTTTTTCTCCTTTTGCATATTGAAATCTTCCTGCAGTGCAGCCCCTGAATAAATACACTTCAGCGCTGCCACTCGAGAACCGGACACTGATCTGGAGTGGGTGCCATTCACTAACCCTCTCTGCAGGTCAGCGAAAGGCATCTTTTTTCTCTGGCACTTACCGTAATTAGGGTAAGGTGAGGACACTTGAAATTGATCTGCAGCAAGTTCCCAAAGAAGGGGAAGGAGACAGGACCTGGGGGGTAGTTCCATCTTTTTCTGCGCTTCAAGTGATCGAAAAGAAAAATAAAGACAGCAAAAGCGACGCCAAGTGTTGTGAAGATGTTCTGGAAGGATGGGAGTTGGAACCCAAGCCAGGAGAGTGATTCCATTGTGTCTCTGTCTATCCCCCAATAATTTTTCCCTTTTCCCGCCAACACTTTTCCTCTTCTTGTTTCACCTTCTCTCAGTATCTGTCTTTGTTTTTCTCCTATTTGCCCTCTGTCTCTCTTCAGCTCCTCCCTAATTCATGTAGAAGTGGTGATGAAAGTGTTCCTGTCCCAATTGTACACAAGACATAATATATACTATCAGACATTGCTCATAGACTAATCAGTGTTCTCATGGAGCAGTTTTGGCATGTCTCACACACTTAATCATGGCCAGAGTGCTGGCAATGGTTCTCCAAGCAGGATGCTAAATGAACCTTCTGAGAAGTTTAAACAATGGGATGGTCCTACAGCACCTTAGGGTATGTCTAGACTACATGCCTCTGCCGACAGAGACATGTAAAATAGGCTACCCGACATAGTCAATGAAGCGGGGATTTAAATATCCCTGGCTTCATTAAAATAAAAATGGCCACTGCGCTGTGCCGGCTCAGCTGATTGTCGGTACATTACGGCAGTCAAGACGCAGATCGGTCGACAGGAGAAGCCTTTGTCGACTGCTCCCTTATGCCTTGTGGAACGGCACCTGATGGCAGCTCTAAGGGGCACTGCTTGGCTAGCCCCCCCCCTTAATTCGGCCCTGCCCTCATCCCCAGGCCAATCAGGGCCTGAGGGCAGGGTGAAAGTGTACTTTTAAGCGCCACTTGCTCCCAGCAGGGCAGGAGGAGACTTTGCGCACTCCTCTGCCCCCAAACCCTGATTGGCCTGGGGGCAGGCGAGTGCATAAAGTTTCCTCTGCCCTGGTCCCACCCTGCAGAGTGTGTGGTGCTTAGAAGTGCCATGCTCTCCTGGCAGGGCGGAAGGAGACTTCACACGCTCCCCCTACCCCTAAGCCCTGATTCACCTGGGAGCAGAAGGGGGAGTGACGAAGTTTCCTCCCACCACCAGGGCCATGGGTGCCTGGGGGGAATCTTGGGGGCGGGAGGGGGCGAAGACTTCACCTGCTCCCTCACCCCCACACAAGTCATGGTCTGTGGGTGGGGAAAACAGGGAAGTGTCCTGGCCCTGCCCCTAAAAATTTTTGAAGTGGCCTCTGGCAAAAAATTATTGCCCACCCCTGGATTAGGGCCTTTTCCTATTAGATTGTCATCTGCCTCTGAACCAGTCAGAAGCGCTATGCCTGAGTCTACCTCATGTTTCTTCAGTATAATTTTTCAGCACCCAAAAGCGTGGTAGATGATATACAAAGATGAACGATGACACAAGCTTTGCCCTGCAAAACTTAAAACCATCCATTTAGCATTTAAATCCAGATGTGATACATCTGCCTTTTAGTTAGAGGTTCTGGCATCCTTCAGGGAGGGTGGGAAAGCCGGAAGGAGAAGGGATGGGCAATGCCAGGAAGCGAGTGCAGAGGAACAGCAGCAGGGAAAGGGGAGGACAGCCAGATGTCACCAGGCAGTGAACAATAAGAAACAGTAATCAGCTTGAGCGACACCTGACCAAGGAGAAGGAACAAGAACAGCCACAAAATCTGTAGGAGAAGTCACAGTTGGGGCCCACTCTCCAGAATGTTGTACCCAAAAAAATTACTAATGAGGATTCTTGATAGAGTTCTACTCTCTCAACCACACCACTTCAGCAACAGAATCATAACAGGCAAATTAGCTCAAAAGGAAGGGGGCTGATTAGTTTTGTTACCTCTGTTGTCACTATACAGGTTTTATTTAAAAAAATATATGGCTGCTTGTCCCTGTGATATCTAACCATGACAGTCCATCTGAATTGTCCATGGCTGGACATATAACAATCAGACATCAATCATTAGTAACTTAGCTTAATTGCAACCTAATTTCTTCAAAACTATTTATACATGTTTTCTAGGAGGTCTAACTACATAGAAATGTCTGTCTGACTCCATTATTACAATCATGCAGGCAAATAAAAGGTGAACCAAGCACTGACTTTCTTTAAAGCTCACTTTTAATGGATTTTAATGCTATTTAGCCATTTGACTTGTAAAACCTCAGAACAGTCCTGCCACCTAAAGCCTACACAAGAAGGAAAATAACAGAGTTGACTCTCTGCTGACATCTTCTGGAGAGCAAGGGGAGTGGGCTGAGCCAGTCAGTATCTCATTTGCATATTAACTTCAGATCGCTTGGGGTACAGGGACATAATTTGTCTGAGTTTTGTACTTGCAACACATATTTTGGAGATTACGCTAGTGGGAACCCTTCGGGCAAGGCCTGAACAACGACTGAGTACAGGGTCACCTTGAAGACTGATGTTCACCAAAGTTGGGTAAGAGTCTTCGGACAGAAGGAGCCCAAGTTCCAGAATAAGAGATTGTCCATGCTTGGTTAATTGCTGGAATTGTTTTGTTGAGGGTAGGAGTTCTTATGGGACTATTAGACCATGGAGTCCCCTGGTACCTTGAAAACAAAAACTGAGCTGCAGTGAAGCTCATGAGTGGTTCCAGTCCTAGGGCACATGGAGGACACAACCCCTCGGCAGTTCTGGTCACCTGGCCAGCAGCAATTGGAGCAAAGTGGCAATTGGCCTCCCCTACAACTTGCGAGCAACCTGAGAACTGCTGTGTGGACTGTGGTAGAAGCAGAGAAGTTTACAGCATCAGTCTACACTGGACTAAAGACGTTGGAGATGTCTCCCTGTTCTCGCTACTGAAACTGTTATGGCAGGACAGGTGGTAAAGCCTCAGAGTTGCCTAAGAAATGGGAACCCTGATTTTCTTGGAACCACAAACTCTGAGTAGGGTGGGAAGTTGGGGACTCATGAACTGTGAGCAGAGATTGAGAGGCAGAGAATTTGCATCGGCCACTCAGAGCTCAGTTGTTTGGGGCTGTGATTCATGCATAAGGCTACATGTCAGTCACAGCGACCTCTGTGACTTACGCAAAATTCCTATAATTCAGCTCCAGATGCAGAAACGTGGGCTTCAACCTTGTGGTGCCAGAGCTCAGGCTACAATACATCTGTGATGTATTGGTTATTGCCTGCATCCTGTCCATGACTTTGAATAAAAATACCCAGGCCAAAATCCTAACCTTACTCATGCACCCTGAGGCAGTCGGTGGTAAAAAGTGTTCAATTCTGAAGTCTTCCCAAGTTCCTTCTGCCGTCCCTTTCCTTTCCTCAGCCAAGTTCTTTTTTTAAACAGCTGGTAAATGCGTTTGTAAGCCTGTACAGATCTGCCTATCAAAGGCACCAAGACTGGCCAAAGGGTCCCAAAGAGGGTGACTTGAGCCAAAATTAAGCAAATTGTAGCAAAACAATTCTAGAAAGAAGACCCTGGCCCATGAAGGCACATTGTACTCCTCAAGCATAGCAAAGAGGTTTAGCTTTAAACTTTTAAACTCATCTTTAAGCATACAACTCAATTCATTCCTAATTTAAGGTGTTAATGTCTGGGTCTGAAATCCTGACCCTATTGAAGTAAAGGTCAACCCATTGCTGATTTTGTAGATCAGGGATTAACTGCAAACTTCCATAATAAACGTAAGAGTTTCCACATGACTGCGCTGGCGAAGCCTGCATTTTGTGAACTCATGGAGCATCAATCTGGCATGACACCATAACCAGGCCTGGCACAGAAGCCAAGACACAAAAATACTCAAGGTTACAGCAAAGGGTTGGCGTTTGGGAACCTTGCTTGGGTGAATTCTCTTGCAATTATCATATTACGAATACAGGCTGAGTCAAAAGTAATGGGCTGGACACGCAGCAAAGCATCTCAGTCAGACTTCACATGCTTAAGGAACTTCCAAGTGGAAAGGTTTATTATTTATTTTATTACTTAGTGTTCCTGGAATGCTCATGGGGTCATTAAATAAGCAAACAAAAACCCAGCAACAACAGTAAGTGCCCTAGACGTTCACCTACTGTCTCCAGCTCCATGTGGTGCATGAGGATAATAATCAACTTCTTTGGATCCAAACCTTGGCCCCAAGACTGGTGGGACTGAGTTTTGAGACTCTTTGTATCCAGAATTTGTTGCAGAACTTCAAAATGAGGTCTTCAGAGTGAGCTATCCCTGATATCTAATGACCATAGAAAAGCATGGACATTGACCCGTGAGAACTAACCACCCTAGATAATGACTGGGCATTAGGACTGGGAAGTATGTAATGGGTGCTGGTGTTAAGGAGGTTGGAATAGCTATACAGAGGGCACTCACAGGGATGTGATCAGTGGGGCTGAGCTCAAAAAAAGCATGATCATGAACTACTGATAGAACCCATGCTCCCATTGGTCCTGCCATGGGGGCAGGGGACTGGACTCGATGACCTCTCGAGGTCCCTTCCAGTCCTAGTATTCTATGATGATTCAGTGCTGCCTTTTCTGAATCAGGGCTGGATTTAGAGGCAGGTGACTGACATTCTACACCTTGGGGGAGGAAGGCACCCTGTAACTCCCTTATGCCTTATATTGCATATAAAGCATGCCATGTGAGGTATCAGGGGGTAGGTTACGGCTGTCTGAAAGACATTTCTCTAGCTGTAGATTAATATCATTAATGCATATGGAATTATCAGAATTGTGTTGCATGATGGGTGTTAAAATATAGTTGGCTTGGGAGGTGCCCAGATATTACTTTTATGGAGACAATGTCAAGGGAGGTAATTAACACCTGGATGCCTGCTGTTGGTGAGACATCACCAGCCATTGCCTAGCAAGGGAGCTGCAATGCAAATGACTCACCAGCATAAGGCCACACCAGGGCTATGTCTACACTGGTGGGTTCTTTCACAAGTATGGCCATTCTTGCGCAAGAACCCCCAGAGCGTCCACACTGCCCACCCTCTCTTGCGCAAGAAGATTTACAGTACGGTGTGGTAAGAGAGGGCTTCTTGCGCAAGAGCTACGCTCTTTTCTTACAGTGTAAGCTCTCTTGCACAACAGCTCTTGCACAAGAGGGCAGTGTGGCTGTGCCGCAGGGGTTTCTCACGCAAGAAAGCCCTATAGCTAAAATGGCCATCAGAGCTTTCTTGCGCAAGAGAGCGTCCACACTGCCGTGGGTGCTCTTGGGCAAAAACACATCTCGGACATGGCAGTGTGGACGTGTTCTTCCGCAAGACTTCTTGCACAAGAACCCTTGCACAAGATGTTCTTGCACAGGAACCCGCCAGTGTAGACATAGCCCAGGGGAATTGCTCAACTTTGCCTGGACACTCAGCAATGCCCCCCAGACATGCCTGGACTTGAGTTCTTCAAGCACAGGGACTAAGGGTATAAGAACCAAACACAGAGGCTCATGTTTGGCCTTTCTCCTTCACCCTCCTCGGCTGCAAGCAGCCAGGCCAAGAAGACTGAAAGTTCCAACTGAGGGAACTGGCCCAGATTTCAAAGGTGAAATCTGTGTACTATGGACTGCAATAGCCAG